TAGCTCAAACAACATCTAAACAAGACCCAGCAGGCCCACTCAGAACTGAAGGTAGGGATGCCAGAGCCACAGGTTAGAAATGTCACCTACAGAGAGAAATGACCTTGAACCAAATGGAAGAAACACCAAGCAAGATGGTGGCCAAGGTGTGTGTGGATGAGTGCCCGATAAGCAGGTGATCAAGATGTGGGATGCCAGGGTCTCCAGATAGCAGTGGAGTGAGAGGTTTAAGATATTCCCAAGAATCTGGCAGTTTTACAAGAGTACAGAAACGACTGTTATGAATTTGCTGCTCTCCACAATAACTTGTGTTACTCGAAGATTATTGTTCCAATGTCATGCCTCCATTAACATATCCTTGTTCATAATTCAGAAACTCCTACAAACAAGCAGCTCAGATTCATCAAGTTTTATTCTCAATAGCCCTGATTCCATTTGCCCTCAAAAAATAAACACGCCAACATGTGTTTGCTTTTACATGTCATTCTCTTACACATTTTTATTTAAGAAAAATGTCTCTTGACAATGAACTATCTTGTATCCTACTCATTATTTAGAATGGACTAAAATAAATATTTAAAGCTACATTTCTAAGTATTTGCTTAGCCGTGTTATTTTATTTGCTGTTTATTTTAGCTGGATCATGTTTTTATGGTCCCAAGAGTCCTTTAAGTCTTAATAACAGCATTCTGGGAAAGCTTAACGAACGGAAAAAGAATTCATATTTGGAATATTTTAGTGTCTTAGCATGGACTGTCTTAACAAGAAGACCACAGACTGGGTGGCTTAAGCAACAAATATTTATCTCTCACAGTTCTGGAGACCGGGAAGTCCAAGATTGTGGCGTCAGCAGATATGATGTCTAGTGAGGGATCTCTTCCTGGTTTACAAGTAGCCAACTTCTTGTTGTATCTTCTCATAGTAAAGAGGTCACCTCGTCTCTTCTTGTAAGAGCACGTATCCCATCCACATGGGCTCTGACCTCACAAGCTAACCGCTTCCCAAAGGCTCTGCCTCCAAGCATGATCACACTCAGGATTTACGCTTCCACATATGAATTTGAGGAGGACACAAACATTTGGTCCATGACATGCAGTTTATCCAAAAGATAAATTTAAAGAAATGAATGCTGTTCCTGATCCATTTATAGGGAGACATGACTCAATTGAATGTTGACTGTTTCTCCTGAGAGGAACAGAGGAGGCACTCCAATTCCCAGCCCCGGCAGCTTCAGCATAGCTGCCTGGCCCCATGAGTCCTGTGAATGTCCTCCCAAAGACCCCACCCCCACCCCTTTAGCCTGAAGCCGTACATCACCAAAAAGCCAAACGGAGGAAAAGCAGCAAGCATGGTGGGCAGAGAACACTCAGTCCATTTTACTTTAGAACATGAAACTTTAAATCAGAAGACCCTTAAAGATGACTTCTTCTTCTTCAGATGAGGGAGGTGACTGAAACCCACAGAGGCTGACTTGTTCAAGGTCCCAGTTAGTCAATTATTATGATGCATTAGCATGAGCTATTATGGTGACAAGGAGATTTATGACCTCTGATTATGACATATTTCTTAGTCTCATTTGATCATTCATGCAGTAACCCACCCCTCCTTATTTATAAATGTTCAAGGAAAATAAATGATTGCCCAGATAGTGAAATAGTGTCAAAGCTGACAAAATGAATCTGGCCTAGCCCTGCTTTGAGTCTTCTGCATATTATGGGAGGAGTCATTCAACAACACCCTGCCTCAATTTCCCTTTCTGAGGAGAGAATTCCTCCTTTCGCTTGCATTTATTTTAAAGAGCTTGCTATTAACTGGACTCGGTGGCTCAGCCTGTAATCCCAGCACTTTGGGAGGTCAAGGTGAGAGGATTGCCTGAGCCCACGGGTTCGAGACCCACCCGGGCAAATTGGCGAGACCTCGTCTCTAAAATAAATAAAAAATTAGCCGGGTATGGTAGTGCACGCCTGTAGTTCCGGTTACTTGGAAGGCTGAGGCAGAAGGATCGCTGGAGCCTAGCAGGTCGAGGCTGCTGTGGCCGGGAGTGTGCCACTGTACTCCAGTCTGGGCGACAGAGTCAGACTACCAACTCAAAAAACCCCCCAAAAAACCAAAAACGAAAATGAGCCCGGCATGGTGGCATGTACCTGTAGTCCCAGCTACTTGGGAAACTGAGGTTGAGGCTGCAATAGCCATGATCATGCCATTGCACTCTAGCCTGGGCGACAGAGTGAGACTCTGACTCAAAAAAAAAAAAGAAGTGGTGTTTGCCTAAAGAAAAAAACTTATTATTATTTTGTTTGAATAAAGCTCACCTTTAATGTTTCTTATTTTTTGAGTAGGAGAGTTAGCTGTGGGTGGCTGCCTGGACTATTTTTCTCTGCTCTTAGATAAGATAGCAGCAGAGGAAACAGGCCTAATGACATCTTCCCGACCACGTGTCAAGACCCACACCTGGAACAAGGGTGCACGGAGGCAGGGTCTTCAGGCTCAGGGGCTGTCTGCCCCCTGGGGTTTACATCAGAGGATGGCCAGGAGCCTGCCTGGGTGCGGGCCATCTCTCACTCACGCCCCTCCTTCTCGGGGCTCTGCAATACAGAGAGCATCTGTGAGCAGTCTCTGCACCTCGGCATGAAAACAGGCAGCTGAGTTGGAAGATCAGTCAAATCAAGGGCGCAGCGGACAGGCCCCAGTCTGGTGGGCTCGGGACGTGGAGACTGAGGAGACCAGGCAGTCCTCAGGGCTCTCACTCTTGAAGTCGCCAGGTCCAACAGGAACACGTGGTGGTCATTTTGCTGCCTGAATGCTTCCCCCAGGAAGGTAAACACGATCAATGGTTTTCTTAACTTGGATTTCTCTCCAAGCCCTAAGCACGCCTTTGCATTTCACGCAGGGGCTGTTCTGGCCTCTGGCCCAATAGAGGAAGCCTCTTGGGAAGCCAGCCCCAGAGCCAGCCTTGAACTTGGGCCAGCATGGAAACATTCTGTTCCTCTGACTACAGTCTTTCTCTTTCTGCCTTTTGGCCCACATGCGCCTTGTATCCATATACTTTCTGACCAGGCTCTCACTCAGTGGCCCCTGAGAAGACCAAGCAGACAAAAACTCGGGAACTCCTGAGGAGGGTGGAAAGGGAGGCTTCGGGCCTCATTTGTTTTGAAAATCTGACCAGGTATCACCGAGGGTATTTGGAAGGAGAAGGGTGACAGGCATTCACTGACTTTTTAAACTTTATTTTTATTTTGTAGAAACGAGGTCTTGCTCTGCTGCTCAGGCTGGTCTTGAACTCCTGGGTTCAAGTGATCCTCCCACCTTGGCCTCCCAAAGTGCTGAGATTACAGGTGTGAGCCTGGTCATACTCGCTGACTTTTGACCCCCCTATGATTTTAATCTTTTTCTTAGGGGGTCAAGTTTGTCCACATTTTGGAACCAAAGCCCCTCTTCATGCTGACTTCCTGGCTTCTGCCTATCCCAGATGAGGGAAGTTTTTAAAGATTTTCTTTCTTTCTTTTTTTTGAGTTGGAGTCTCACTCTGTCGCCACTCCCGGCCACTCTGTCGCCACTCCCGGCCACTGCAGCCTTGACCTGCTGGGCTCCGGTGATCCTTCCACTTCAGCCTTCCAAGTAGCTGGAACCATAGGTGCACGCTACCACACCCGGCTAATTTTTTGATTTATTGTAGAGATGAGGTCTTGCTGCCCAGGCAGGTCTCGAACCCGCGGGCTCAGGCAATCCACTCACCTCAGCCTCCCAAAGCGCAGGATTACAGGCTGAGCCATCAAGCCTGGCTTAAAGATTTTCTAAGCATGTACATGCTTCCTGCTATAGCTAGCCTCTGCACTGGCCCCAACTCCCATCTAGGGACTATATAGACGGAACTTATCACCTCCTGGAGGACCACAATAAACGGGAGAATATCCATTAGCAAAGTCAAGTGGCTTACAAAGCCCACTAGAGAGAGCTCAGTATCTGGGTTGTAATCTATTTTTAATAAAGGTTTTTTTTTTAATGAAAATAGTTTTTATTTTATTATTTTTTGGGGTCGGGGTCTCACTGTATTGCCCAGGCTGGAGTGCAGTCACACTAGCAGGGTTCACATAGCCTCCGCTTCTTGGGCTCAAGTGATCCTTCCACCTCAGCCTCCTGAGTAGCTGGGGCTACAGGTGCATGTCACCATACCTGGCAAATTTTTTAACTTTTTGTAGAGATGAGGTCTCGCCATGTTGCCCAGGCTGGTCTCAAACTTCTGGGCTCAAGCAATCCTCCTGCCTTGGCCTCCCAAAGTGCTGGGATTACAGGTGAGAGCCACTGTGCCCAGCCAAAAACTAGTTTTTATTTTTTTACTTATTTATTTTTATTTTTTGAGTTGGGAGTCTCACTCAGTCGCCCAGACTGGAGTGCAGTGGCCGCTCCTGGCCACCGCAGTCACGACCTGCTAGGCTCCGGCGATCCTTCCGCCTCAACCTTCCAAGTAGCCAGAACTACAGGCATGCGCTACCACGCCCAGCTAATTTTTGATTTATTGTAGAGTTGAGGTCTCGCCAAGTTGCCCAGGTGGGTCTCGAACCCGTGGGCTCAGGCAATCCAATCATCTCAGCCTCCCAAAGACGCGGGATTACAGGCTGAGCCACCGAGCCCGGCCAAAAACTAGTTTTTAAAGGCAAGTTACAATAGCAGAAGAAAACTCTCTCCTAAGCAAAGACTCAGCTGCTTACAGTGATCAAACATATGGGCTGTTTGCATGACCGGTGGCCTGGACTCTATGAGTTTCTTAGAGGCAGAGGTTGGCTGCAATCTAGAAAATACAACGAAACTAAAAGGCGAGATCCCCAGGCATGCGTATAAGGCAAAAAGCAAAGTGCCCAAATTTGGTCATTTTTACAGAGAAAACAAATTCTGCGGTGACTGTCCTTCTTCAGAAAGGGTTACCTTTTGACAGGTCATGGGGCAGACCACCTGGCTGGGACAAGATGTAGACTTCCTTGCTTTTTGACGATGACCTTCTTTCCCCGGGTGTTTCTCTACCGTCAATGGGGAAGGAGCAGAGGCAGGAAGAGAGAGCGGGAAGAAATAACATTTGCACTCAAGCCTCCTGCCCCCACCCTCGGTTTCAGCAGATGCTGGACCCGCACTCTGCTGGGGGAAGGTCACGGAGTCCCGCCAGTCCCAGGAGTCGAGGCTGGCAAAAGCCAGGAAGACCTGCACCGCGGGGGCCCCTAGATCACACTCCCGTCTGCGCTCTTTGCAGTAAGGCTGCTAGTTTCAGAGTCCCCTGGACCTTCCCAGGCCAAGCGTCATCTCCGTGTCAAACGGATGGGATGCCAGGTAGTCCTTATACTCGCCATCGATCAGTTTGGCGGCATTGTTCCTGGCAAACCAGCAGTCTATCTGCTCCTGCCCATTGTAAATCTTCCTCTGCTTCCAGACCACTGGGACTTGGCGGCCTTTTACCTTCAGGATGGTCTCGGCCCCCTCTCCCGCCTGGGGGGACAGAGGGTGGGTAGGGTTCCAGCCAAGGACTGCAGGTTCCTCGATGAGTCTGGCGTCCTGGTTTAGGAACTGACCTGAGAGGACAGAAAAAGAAAGCATGGAGTCTCTGTCAGATGCAGACAATATCTATCAAAGTTAAACTTCCGTGTTCCCGTGGTGAGAGGGTTTTTTGTTGACCACAGTCCTAGGTTGGGGTCTCCTGGGAGGCACGTTTCTCAGCAATAGCAGAAGAACCTGTGTTTTTGTGGGTATGGGGGAGACAGCAGAGGATGTATTCATTCGTGGTGGCCTGCCACTTGCGGCAGCTTCCAGTTGCTAACACTGGAAAGTTGTCTGACCACAGATGACCACAGATGACCACAGTCCTCTTCTGAGTTGGAGGGCAAGACAGAAGCAGAAGAAGGAGAGCCTGGTTCTCCCTCTCCCTCTCTCTCCCACCTCTTTCTTCTCGCCCCCTGTCATAGGTCCCCTTCCAAACTATCTATTGGGTGGGTCTGTGCCGGGGTGGGATGTGGAAAGCAGTCTGTTCAGTTTATCCCTGACACTCATCCTAGGAATTCTGCAGGTCAAGTGAGGGCATGACTCGGGCCCGAGGAGTGCAGATCGGCATCTGGGAAGGGAACTCAGACTTGGCAGCCAGGCGTGGAGAAATGCGCCCTGCTCAAGTGTCAGGAAATCCCGCTTTCTAAACTGGGCCCTGGCCGTGGCTCACTCTGTATTTTTGGGCAAGGGGCCTGCGTGAAATTGCATGCTGAAGAAAGCCAGCCAGAGCGGCCTGCCTCTGCTCCCGGGAATGTGGGCGACACGCAGGGAGGGGTATCGCTCAGGCTGGGTGCTGGCTGTGGTCAGCCCTTAATTCGTGTCTTCTTGCAGAGGGGCAAGAAGCCAGACTTTCCCATGATCACCCTCTGGTCTTTAGTTCTTTTCCCCAGAAGGCTAGTGAGAACTGGCTCCAAAAGTCCATTCCCATTCCAGAAAATCTTCCAGAAATCTAATTTTCATAGTATATAGACAGTCATGCACCCATGATGTTTCATCAATGACTGACAATATGGTCCCCTAAAATCATACACCTGCATTTTTACTGTACCTTTTCTATTCTTAGTTATATAAGTAGCTATGCCTATGTAACGTCTAGCTATGTATGTCTAGCTATGTCTGGCTGCGTACCTAGCTATGGTAAGTATTTATGTGTCTAGCTACACACAAATACCTTTATTACAACTGCCTGCAGCATTCAGTACAGTAACAGGCTGTACAGGTGTGTAGCCTAGGAGCAATAGGCTAGACCACACAGGCTAGGTGTGTGGTAGGCTAGACCACCTAGGTATGTGCAAGAACACTCTATGATGTGCTCACAATGATGAAATCAACTAATAACGCCTTTCTCAGAATGTCTCCCTGTCATTAAGCAACACATGGTGCTTGCTCTCTCTCTCTCTCTCTCTCTCTGTGTATGTGTGTGTGTGTGTACACCACATTTCTATTCAATTTCTCCATCAAGCCGTCAATATCAGCAGTATCGGCTTCACTTTGGGAGACATACTTCCTCCTCTGATCCCCTCGCCAAGAGGAGAGCGCTGCTTACCTAACAGCCCGTGGCAGCTGCCGGAAAGGCCCTTGCTGTTGGCAATGTAGAAGCCCAGGTGATGTCGCTGGAAGGGCGCGGGCTTTTTGTAGAGGTGGATGAGGATGACAAAGGCAATGGAGCCCTGGATGGTGACGGTGACGTTGGCGTTGGCGGACACCGACACCTCCAGCCCCCGACTCCCAACCACCACGCTCTGGTTGCAGGGGAGGACCAGCCTGTCCCCACCGTCCAGGATGACTCTGCTGGGCGTGATCTCGAGATAGGACCGCTCGGGCTTGTTGACCAGGATGGTGATGGTGCGGAAATAAGTGCGCTGTTTCTTGTGACCGTTTGGAGGGGCGGGGGCCCCGATTAGCTCTCCGTTCACCGTCACACCTTGAAGGCCAAGGGCAAAGAGCAAGGTTAGGAAACCCATCCCCACTTTCTCGCTAACAGCGTCTAAGCAGAATTTCCTCCCTCCTCCAGGCTTAGCTCTGTATCTCCAGGACCAAAATCATGATCTTAGTCACACATAGAGACCACTCCCTGGTTCCTAGAAGGGTCACGCACTGGTTATTACAGAGGCCGCTCCGTGATTATTGTTGAGACCACTCACTGGTGACGATAGAGACCTACTGGTGACTACAATCACCTCTCACTCGTTACATAGAGACCACCTGCTGGTTACTATGGAGACCACACCTGCTGGTTATTACAGAGACCACCGACTGGTTACTACAGAGAGCACTCCCTGGTTACTAGAGGGGTCACACCCTGATTACTACAGAGACTACTCAGAGATTATTGTTGAGATCACTCACTTACTATAGTTACCTCTCACTGGTTACACAGAGACCATTTGCTGGTTACTATGGAAACCACCTTCTGGTTACTACAGAGACCACTGACTGGTTACCACAGAGAGCACTCACTGGTTATTATAAAGACCACTCACTGGTTATTATGGAGGCCATGCTCGGTGGTTACTATAAAGACCGCTCACTGGTTATTATAGAGACCACTCAGTGGCTACTGAGTGAGTGAATGGATGAGTGAACGCATAGAGTTATGAGCGGATTTTCCCTCCCCCATGTTGGACCAGCATCTTGGGATAGAGGAGATGTGGGATTAGGTCAAGATGCCACAGAAGAAAACATGGTGTAGCCGGACTCGGTGGCTCAGCCTGTCATCCCGCGTCTTTGGGAGGCTGAGGTGAGTGGATTGCCTGAGCCCGTGGGTTCGAGACCCGCCTGGGCAACTTGGCAAGACCTCATCTCTACAATAAATCAAAAATTAGCTGGGCGTGGTAGTGCGCCTGTAGTTCCAGCTACTTGGGAGGCTGAGACGGAAGGATCGCCGGAGCCCGGCAGGTCAAGGCTGCGGTGGCCGGGAGCGGCCACTGCACTCCAGTCTGGGCGACAGAGTGAGACTCCGACTCAAAAAGAAAAAAAAGAAAAAGAATAAAGGAAAACAGGGTGTAAGTATCTGGACAGCTAAACAGCTGAGTGAGCCTGTCTGTCTGCTTTCTTCCCAGTGTCTGGCTGTCATGCTGAAGTCCTGTGTGGCCCTGATGCATATTTTGCATCGACCAGTGACCACTGACTCTCATTCGGAGGTGCTGAGCAGAAGGTGGCAGAATGCAAAGTTAGAATTTGCTTTTTAGTCCTCAAATTCAAGTTCTTCCACTTGGTGTTTCCTCCTTAGAAGAGGCCTTTTGAAGTGTGAGCCTCGACTTTCTCACCTGCAGAATGGGAAGATATAAAGCTAACCATTTTTGTGAGGATGCCAGGAGGTGGCGAGCATGTAAGCTGTGAATGGCTGCCAAGTGGACCTCTTTTCTATTCTCCTGCATCGTGTTGAGCACAGCTGTGGCTTCTCTGGACTTCTGCAAGGCCTGTGAGCCAGCCTCAGGGTTCCGTGCTGTCTGGTTGCACAGCAAACTGATGGCAATTGCACATGAGCTGGTCAGGGCTGAATCAGGTGGTGCATGTTAAATGTGTTTAGCTCTCAAGCAAAGAGGCAATTTGCAACAATAAACGATCGCTGTATAATTAACTCTTGCTTTCTCTGCTTTGGGAACAATCTTCCCAGTACATCTTGACTCATAGCTTCTTAGACATTCAAGGAGAAGAGAGTCTTCCCTTGGGTGAGGGTCAGGGGAGAGGAGAAATCTCAGCACAGGCAGAGCCTGTGTCCTTCCAGCCTCTAATCTGTAAGCATCTTCAGGCTGAGTTCCCTTCATGGACACCTCATGGAATACAGAAACTCTGGAGACGGCTCCGGGAAGAGGGGACGCCTTCCGGGAGGGATAAGGTTGGGCTTTCATCTCACTCCTGAGTCCTTTGAAATAAGAAATGGTGGGGGCCGGGCGCAGTGGCTCACGTCTGCAGTCCCAGCATTTTGGGAGGCAAAGGCAAGAGGACTACCTGAGCCCAGGGGTTCGAGAACAGCCTGGGCAATTTGGTGAGACCTCATCACTACAATAAATCAAGAAAATTTAGCCAGAAGTGGTGGTGCAGCCTATAGTTTCAGCTACTTGAAAGGCTGAGATGGAAGGATCACTGGAGCCCAGCAGGTTGGGGCTGCGGTGGCCATGAGTGTGCCACTGCACTCTAGCCTGGGCGACAGAGTGAGACTCCAACTCAAAAAAAGAAAAAAGAAACGATGGGGATTTGGCTCCAAGGCCAATAACTCTGCAAGAGAACAAATGAGTGAGCTCAGGATCAAACTTGACATCATTATATCATCCACACTGCTAGCAGGGGACCTCACCTGGCTGGCGACTGCAACCTGAGCTCCCGAGACATTCCTCTTCTCAGCACCAAGAAATGCTGGGACATCCACTCCAAAGTTTGTCCTCACACAGCCGAGCCGTGTCACCTGCACTGAACTCGAAAGGCTTTTGCCGTGCTAATCTCTCCAACCCAGGCCCTCTACAGACTGACTGGGACCAGAGCCCTGTTCCACACACGTGTCCTTGGCACACAGAGGGCTGTGCGGTTAACATCCGGGTTGCCAGGGAATGAGACAGATGGCTTTAGAACTCTGGCCTCTCCAGACATGGATGGACATCTATCCATTGAAAAATGGAGACCCTGGGGAGGCCAGAGTTCTAAACGGATTCTGGAGTACCTGAACGTTTACAAAGCAACTTTATGTCCCCTGTGTCATCTAAATACACTTGGTAAGTCTTGTAAGGTCAGCGGGGTGTCACTATCTTCATTTGACAAGGGAGACAGCCAGGCGGGGGTGTGGTGGTTCACACCTATAAATCCCAGCACTCTGGGAGGCCAAGGCAGAGCGGGCAGGAGGATTGTCTCTGCCCAGGTGTTCAAGACTAGCCTGGGCAACATCTCTACAAAACAGAGACCTCATCTCTACAAAAAATAAAAATTCAGGCGTGGAGGTGCATGGAGTAACTGTAGTCCCAGCTACTCCAGAGGCTGAGACGGAAGGATCACCTGAGCCCAGAAGGTCAAAGCTGTGGTGAGCCATGATCGGCCTGGGCAACAGAGTGAGATCCCAACTCAAAACAAAAACAAAAGCTACAGAAAGGGAGAGGGCAGTAGCTCAGATGTGCGTCTTCTGGATGTCAAGTCCAGGAGCCCAGGTCACTTCCTTTGTCCATCAACAGGGTTCACTGTACATCCTTAATGTGGCCCTGATGTCACTGGACACCCATTTTAAGTTTGGAGGGGGTGCACTACCTCCCTGGTCTTTGCCCAGATGCCACGAGGGAGAGCAAAACTTACCAGAGTGCATGTGGTCCGAGACCAGCCTTAGGACGTCCCCGGGCTGCCCGTCAATGTTAAAGCAGACGGTGAGTTTGCTCAAGGAGAAATCCACCACGAAATGGGGGTCGCCGTCCACTGCAGGAACAGAGGAAACAAAGGAGAGAGAGGAAAGACATGGAGTGGGCGCCTTCTGTGTGCAGGGGCCGCTTTCTCGTTTCTCCTGACAACAATACTGGACGGAAGGTGGCCTTGGTTTCCAGCTGAGGAAGATGGATGGGAAGGGTGTGACTCTCCAGACGACCCAGTGAGTGCATGGCCAACGCGTGACTTCAGGTGTTCTAAATGCAAATACTGAAGGTGCCAAAAATGGTCCACATGTTGTAAGAGACGCTGTCTATGGGTTACTTTTCATTTTTGTTTTGTTTTGTTTTTGAATTGGAGTCTCACTCTGTCACCCAGACTGGAGTGCAGTGGCCACTCCCAGCCACCGCAGCCTCGACCTGCTGGGCTCCGGTGATCCTTCCGCCTCAGCCTTCCGAGTAGCCGGAATTACAGGTGCGCGCTACCATGCCCGGCTAATTTTTTTGATTTATTGTAGAGATGAGGTCTCGCCAAGTTGCCCAGGCAGGTCTCGAACTTGCGGCCTCAGGCAAAACACTCACCTCAGCCTCCCAAGGCACAGGATTACAGGCTGAGCCACCAAGCCCAGCTATGGGTTACTTTTCAAAGTTGAATTGAATCACGGTAGCAATGTGTAGTGTGACGTTCGCTCAGCCACACTTCCACCATGCTCTGTGACTGTCCAGCCTGTCGCTAGCATTCATTTGATTGTCTCCATCTTTTGAGCCATCGTCAGACTTAGAATGTGTGCATGTTTTGGGGTGCCCCCATCCAGTGCTTCTTTCACCATACCTCAACTAATGCAGACAACCAAGCCTAGAGAGAAAGCAGGGCAGGAAAGAGAGACCCTGCCACCCATGCCGAGCTGAGACAAGCCCGCCCCCTTCCCCCTCCCACGCTGGCTCCCGCGTCCATTGCTTTCTCCTTGAACGGCCCAGAGGACGAGATCTGAATGAGGTTCCTTCCTGCCCTGGGACTGGAGTTCTACCGCACTTCTCCCCAGGAAACCGTAGGCGATCTTTGCATGCCCGTGCCAAGAGCCATACTGTTTAAAAAGGGCAGTGATGGCCGGGCTCAGTGTCTCAGCCGGTAATCTCAGCACTTTGGGTGGCCGGGGCGAGTGGATTGCCTGAGCCCCTGGGTTCGCCGCCCACCTGGGCAACTTGGCAAGACCTCGTCTCTACAATAAATCAGAAATTAGCCAGGCGTGGTAGTGCATGCCTGTAGTTACGGCTCCTTGGAAGGCTGAGATGGAAGGATCACCAGAGCCCAGCGGGTCAAGGCTGCGGTGGCCATGAGTGTGCCACTGTCCTCCAGCCTGGGCAACAGAGTGAGACTCCAACTCAAAAAAAAGAAAGTGTATCCATGTTCACTATAGATGCAATTTGTATCACGTATTTTTGACCCATGGTTGGTGGAATTCATGGATAGGAAAGGCAACTGTATTGTGTCTCTGACAGTTCTCTGAGAGGTCTGTGTGTATGTGTGTGTTTTCTTTTTTGTTTTTGTTTCGTTTTGAGTTGGAGTCTCACTTTGTCACCCAGACTGGAGTGCCGTGGCATAATCATGATTCACTGCAGCCATGACTTCCTGCATTCAGGCGATCCTTCGGCCTCAGCCTCCCAAGGAAGTGGACCTACAGGGACGTGCTAATGTACCCAGCTAATTTTTGTGATTATTTATTTATTGGTAGAGACGAGGTCTCACTATATTGCCCAGGCTGGTCTTGAGCCCCTGGACTCAAGCAATCCTCCCACCTCTGCCTCCCACACTGCTGGGGTTACAGGCATGAGTCACTGTGCCCAGCCTCTCTGAGAGTTTCTATGTGCACATACCACACCATTTTACTCAAATAGTCCAATTCCCTTTACAAGGAAAGATAGTGCTTGTTTCCCAAAGAGGGGAGGGGTGGAAAAGTCATCCCTCCAGGTCGTATCCAAGAGGAAACCTTTCCTGCATTCCATAAAGCCTGAAGTGTATTCAAAGGAATGGCATTCTGTCCTCTGGAGACTGTGCGGCCTCGCTGTCCACAGCCAGTCCCTAGGATGTCCCTGGCTGTATACACACAAGCACGTGCAGCACAGCACCTAGAGGTAACAACAGAGACCCACCAAGGATGATGTGTATGTGGTAAGGACAAAGCCTGGCCCCTATGCGACCCTTCCATCAGGATTTTTATTATAAGCCCGGGAAGTTGGCAAAAGGAAATCTCATGACATTTTAAAAAATCTGTTCTTCCTTTCTAAGGCCAAGGACTGAAAAACAAAAACAAAATCTGCCTGTCACACCAAACATTTTTGTTTTTGTGGCCCCGTTTTATAACTGTAACACCAGAGGCTGGGAGCATGCCTGCTTCAGATCTCAAAAACAAATGCCTTTTTAACTCAATCATGACTGAAACGTGCTTTGCTCCCCATGTATGCTATTAGGGCTCTAGCCAGGCCTCCTGGAGAATGTGTTATCACCACAATGTTTACAGAATGGCCTAAGGACGGTCCTGGTTCTTGGAAGCTGCCTCATGCTGCGGCCTTGAACTTGTTAGAGGAGCTGGTATTTTAACTGGCTTCAGGGAATTCCTAGCTGCCCAACTTTTGAAACATTCCTTACTCTCAGTTCACACACACCCACATCCTTTGCTTTACCTGATGTTTTAGAGATTTTAATTCTTGGCTGGTATGGTTTCTCCAGCGCAGGCCCTAAAAAGGAGAAGGAAAAGAATGTGTTATTCATTAAAGAGGGTGAAGCCAGAGGTAAAGGGGGGGGTGGCGAGAGGAGTAAAATACAGTTTTCAGATACATTTCAGACACATTTGTAGCAGCTTAGAGAATGAAAAAGCTCTTGTTGTTGTTGTTAGAGACAGAGTTTCCCTTTCACCAAGGTTGGAGCGCAGTGGTGTGAACGTAGCTCACTGCCGCCTGGGACTCAGGCTTTAAGTATTCCTACTGTCTCACCCTGCCAAGTAGCTGAGATTAAAGGTGTGCACCACCACACCTGACTAACTTGTAAAACAGTTTTTGTTTGTTTTGTTTTGGTAGCGACAGGGTCTCTTCATTGTGTTGCCAAGGCTGGTCTTGAATTCCTGGCTTCAAGCGAGCCTCTCATCTTGGCCTCCCAAAATGCTGGAATTACAGACATGAGCCACTGCACCCAGCCTGAGTTATTGATTATAAACATTATAATACACTAAAATAACACAGATTCCTGCCGAGGTTGCTGTGGCCTGCGGTGGTGTTAGATGAACATCCTAGGCCATCCTGGGTCCTTCCCACATGGCGGGCACTGGAGCTGCCTTACCTGGCTGCGTGCTGGCCCCCTGCAGACTCTGCACCAACGTCTCGGGCCCCATGACAGCTGACATGCCGTGGGCCTCCTCCGGCCTGCCTGCGCCAGGGGCTGGCTGCTTCAGCCTCAGGGAGGTGAACGGGGTGAGAAAGTGGTAGTTCACGGCCAAGGCCTGGGCCCTCTGCCTCAGTCGTTCCTTTTCTTCCCCCTCGTCGGTCTGCAGCCAGGAGCTCCGCAGCTCCTTCACGGTGAGGTAGCCCCACAGACGCTCGATGTGGTTGGGGTCCCCCTCCCTATCGCCCATGGGCACGGGGCCTCCTGGGACGTCCTCCCCTGCCTGGGGCCCCACGGGCACGTCCGTCTTCAGGACGACGAACTTCCTGCTGTTGCTGGCGGTGACTTCCACATGCAACTGATCCAGCTTCCTGTCCACCAGCTTCCCAGCAATGACAATCTCTGAACCGTTGAAGTAGTTGGGGAACAGGGTCTTGGTAGCCTGCTGCACCACGCTGGGGGGGTAGTCAACACGGATGTCCGACAGGAGGGGCGTCCTGATCTCATCGTAGAACCTGGGAGCACAGGGGGAGAGAGTCAGGGCCCCACCGGGCGGTGGGCAGGACGACACTGGGGGAAGCCACAGACCCTCAGAGGGGCACATCTGACTTCAGAGCGATTGGGCCACCCTGGCAAGATTTCTGCTAGGAGGTCACTCAGCCCAACCTCATTCACAACTGGGGAGACAGAATGCACTCTCTCCAGGCCTCCCAGCATTTTTCTTCTCTCTCTCTCTCTCTCTCTCTCTCTCTCTCTCTCTTTGAGTTACAGTCTTACTTTGTCACCCAGGCTGGACTGCAAAGCCATGATCACCACTCACTGCAGTCTCAATCTCCTGGGCTCAGGCGATCCTTCCTTCTCAGTCTCCCAAGGAGCTGGGACTACAGGCTTGCACCACCATGCCTGGCTAATTTTTTGATTTACTGTAGAGATGAGGTCTCACTATGTTTCCCAGGCTGGTCTTGAACCCCTGCGCTCAAGCAATCCTCCAGCCTCAGCCTCTCAAAGTGCTAGAATGACAGGCATGAGCCAGTCCCTGGCTGCAAGCCTTTTTCAACTGTTCTGATGATGAGAAAGAATCTCCCTAGGGTAGATTTAAATCTCCCTCCCTGAAATCCCCACCCATCATCTCAGTTTCACCTCTGGAGCAGTACAAAATGAGCTGAATCTGACTTCAACATGACAGGCATTTAGATGTCTAAGAAAGCAATGCTGCGTGCTCCTTGAGGTCTACTTTCTATTCAGCTTAATCAGACTCCAGTATCATGGACTATTCTTCATGTAATACAACTTTAAGATTCTCCAATGAGTCTTCACAAGTGTCCTTTGTACACACTGAAGTTTCTCAAAATGCCTCTTAAAACATCTTCCTTGGAACCAAATCTATATTCTAGATGTGCCTTAAGCAGCATATTACACTTGAGAAATCTGACCTTGACCTTGACCCTGTGCTTTTATGCAACACAGAACTTGCTCACATTAGCTTTCCTCATAGTCATGCTGCATGGTGGCTTCTTGCTAAGTGAGGAGACTTGTTGACTGACTCCCCTTTCCAATGGCTTAGAGAGCACAGGCTGAGGAAATCGATTTCTACCTCTGTCACTTCCTTGCCATGTGTCTTGGGACGTGTGGCTCAACCTCTCTGAAACTCAGTTTCTTCATCTATAGAACTATCACCATCCCTCGAGTCTGCTCTTTCCTTCTTTCTTGAGAATTGAGTTCTAGCTGGGCACATGCCCATCTGGCCACCAACTACATTCCCCAGCCTCGACTGCAGCCAAACATAGCCACGTGACTATGTCTTCCCCAACGGAGCATGAGTGGACGTGATATATGTGACTTCCATGACACTTAAAATGGCTTGCGATGGCTTTCTTTTATTTCCCCCTTTCGGGGACTGGAAAACAAAAGCAATAGTGGCCTAATTTCAACTTTGCAGAAGGGAAGCAGAGCAATACAATGGAAGGAGCCTGGGACCCTGAATGACTTTGTGGAGCAGAATCTATCCTGGCCTGATGATCACAGAAGACAGAAATAATCAGTTGTCTTATTTCAGCCTTTGCCTTCTGTTTCCTAGATTATGGTAGCCTTCACTCTAGTACACCTACCTTCAGGGACCTTTGTGAGGATCACATGAGGTATGCATGTGGAAACACCTGGCGTAGTATAAGTTCTCAGCAAATGTCAGGTATTGATAATAGTTTGTGTTATATGACAGTGCAGTTGACTTGTTTCAATGGAACTGCCTTTTGCTTCTGTATACCTTATGGATGTGCTCAATTTCAACCCTGAAGTGTTAAGGACATTCTGTTATATAGTGCATTAGATTTCCCTCTTGGAATCTAGTTCTGGATAATTTTTTAAGAGTGGGAGGCAAATCGGCATTTTCATTTGAGTGCTGAGGGAGGGCTGAGTGAGGTGGCTCACATCTGTAATCCTGGCACTTTGGGAGGCAGAGGTGGGAGGATTGCTTGAGGCCAGGAGTTTGATACCAGCTTGGGCGACATAGTGAGACCTTGTTTCTACAAAAAAAAAAATTAGTCAGTCATGGTGGCACATGCCTGTAGTTCCAGCTACTTGGGAGGCTGAGAAGAGAGGCTTGTTTAAGTTCAAGGGTTTGAGGCTGTAGTGACCCATGATTGCACCACTGCACTCCAGCCTGGGCAACAGAGTAAGACTCCAATTCCAAAAAAAAATGCTGAAGGCAATGGTGGTTAATCCCATACCAAGGATCTGCCCTTATTGTACAACATAGAGACCTCTGCTTAGATGAGTCATGAATGAATGTTCTTTGGTTATGGATATTAAGCACCTGGAAATCTACCCAGGCCTCCCTCTTCCTTCTAAGCAGATACCATCCATATATGCCACAATGAAGGTTAAAGCACATCATGCTGAACTGGGTGCTGGCATGTCCCCGACTCGATGGTAAGGTCACACGCTATGTTTGGCAATGTGATGTTCGAGTGAAGCTGCTTCTGTGTTGGAAGATGTAGTTCTGGCTTCTTCTCCGCCTCAGAAGAATAATCTGATTATTCACCAGTTTTAATTGGTTGTTTTGCTTCTTAATAAAAATATGACAATTTAACTAGTCCTTAAAATGGAGACAACACTCCCTTTTCCACCTACTTATAGGGTAGAATAAAAGTAAACTTGCTAGAAAGTGCCTTCAAATGGAGGGTTTTAACTATAACCCTAAGAGCTCATTGAATACCTGGTCATCGGGCCAATAGGTTTTCTCATTGAATTCTGTCAACGGACCGCAATCCCCATTTTATAGATAAGGAAACTGAGGCACAGACAGCCTTAACATCTTGCGACCGAGCGTAGTGGCTCAGCTTGTAATCCTTTGGGACCAAGACAAGAGGATTGCCTGAGCCTGGGGGTCTGAGACCGGCCTGGGCAACTTGTGAGAACTCGTCTCTACAATAAACCATAAAAATTAGCCAGGCGTGGTTGCGTGCACCTGTTGTTCCAGCTACTTGGAAGGCTGAGGCGGAAGGATCGCTGGAGCCCAGCAGGTCAAGGCTGTGGTGGCCACGAGCAGCATGCCACTACACTCCAGCCTGGGTGACAGAGTGAGATTCCAACTTACCAAACAAAACCAGAACTTGAATTCTGATCTGCCTGGCTTTTCTTTTTCTTTTTCTTTTTTTTTTTTTGAGTTGGAGTCTCACTCTGTCATCCAGACTGGAGTGCAGTGGCAGACTCCCGGCCACCACAGCCTCGACCCGCTGGGCTCCGGCAATCCTTCCGCCTCAGCCTTCCAAGTAGCTGGAACTACAGGTGTGCGCTACCACGCCCGGCTAATCTTTGATTTATTGTAGAGACGAGGTCTCACCAAGTTGCCTGGGTGGCTCTCGAACGCGCGGGCTCAGGCAATTCACTCACCTGGGCCTCCCAAAGTGCTGGGATGACAGGCTGAGCCACCGAGCCCGGCCTGCCTGGCTTTTCTTTCTTTTATTTTTTTGAGTTGGGGTCTCACTCTGTCACCCAGACTGGAGTGCAATGGCCACTCCCGGCCACTGCAGCCTTGACCGGCTGGGATCCGGCGATCCTTCCGCCTCAGCCTTCCGGGTAGCCAGAATTACAGGCATGTGCTACCATGCCCGGCTGATTTTTTGATTTATTGTAGAGACACAGTCTCACCAGGTTGCCCGGGCGGGTCTTGAACCCGCGGGCTCAGGCAATCCACTCGCCTGGGCCTCCCAGAGTGTGAGACGACAGGCTGAGCCACCGAGCCCGGCCTGCCTGGCTTTTCAAAACACATGGTAACATCCCCCCGTGCCACAGGCCATGAACATCTCACTCCTAGGAGAGGTTCCGATGCAGCGAGGCACCCTCCCGTCTGGGCTCCCCACAGCAGCTGACCCTCCGCTCCCCCAAGACAGTGCGTCACGGTTGCGAGAAGACAGACCACAGACCCGATGAGCTGCGAGCCCGCGTCCTCCTCCTCCCGGACGCGCCGCGTGAGGCCGCAGTTCTCCAGCGACAGTTTCTCCAGCAGTTTGAAGTCCACGTCGTTCCCGATGCCGATGGTGAAGATGCACACCCGCCCTCGGGCGGCCTCCCGGGTGTTGTTGAGGATCTTGAGGGTGTGGGTCTCCCCGACCGTGGGCTTCCCGTCCGTCAGGAACACGACGAGGGACACGCTGCGGTCTTCGAGGTCGTTGTGGGCCACGTAGTCGCCGAGCAGCCCGATGGCCCTCTGCAGGGCCCCGTTGATGTCTGTGCCTGGGGGACACCAACACAGGACAGCTCGAGCTCTGCGCTCACCTCCCGACCCCGAAAGCCCCTGCCTGGCTGCTGGTCCCTCGCCGCCGCTCCTGCGTTCACAGGACCGCCACGTGGGAGAAGCCGCCTCCTGCTCGTACCAGGTGACTCCAGATCATACAGCCCGTCTAGAAACTTGCCAAGTGTTTGCTAAATGAATATAAAGGACTCAGAGTTGGGCATGGGAATCCCAGCACTTTGAGAGGCCGAGGCGAGAGGATTGCCTGAGCCCAGGGGTTCGATACCAGCTTAGGCAACTCAGTGAGACCGTGTCTCTACAATTTAAAAGGAAAAAAAAAGGCCGGGGGCAGTGGCTTGAGCCTGTAATACCAGCACTTTGGGAGGCTGAGGTGAGAGGACTGCCTGAGCCCACGGGCTTGAGACCAGTCTGGGCAACTTGGCGAGAAAAATTAGCTGGGTGAGGTAGCACACACCTGAAGTTCCAGTTATCTGGAAGGCTGAGGTGGAAGGATTGCCTGAGTCCAGCAGGTTGATGCTGGGGTGGCCATGAGTGTGCCACTGCACTCCAACCTGGGTGACAGAGTGAGACTTTGACTCAAAAAAAAAAAAAAAAAAAAAAAAGCTGGGCATGGTGGTGTGCACCTGTAGACCCAGCTACTTGGGAGGCTGAGGTGGAAGGATTGCCCGAGTCCAGCAGGTTGAGGCTGCGGTAGCCATGAGTGCATCACTGCGCTCCAGCCTGGGTGACAGAGTGAGACTCTGACTGAAAAAAATAATTGACTCAGGATTAGTCCACTGTAAAAAGCCTCTGTAAGGTATTCAATGACACCTTAGTTTTGAACCCTTCACGACTGGAGACAAAAGTGGCTCCATCCTGCTGCTGACCTGCCATATTGGCTTCTGATTAGCCTGAGGACTGTGAAGGCCTCTTGATTCTGACTTTATTCATTGTTTTTAGACTAAGAACATGGGCTCCTGCTTCTAGATTAAAGTAGCCTTGTTGTCATCTCATGAATTGCAGGCTCGTGCGCAGCCAGCCTTCTTGCCTGGCCCGGGGGGTTGCCCCCGGCACGCCTCTACTTTCTCTGGTCTGGGGAGTAACAGTGCGAGATCCACCTGTCTTGCAGCTGCCCAAGGCCACGCTTCTGCCGGAAGTTCCCCCAATCAGTCATCCAAACTGACAAACTGAACCCGCCTGCTGCCTTCTTCGGTTTCTCAGCTCCCTCTGCATTTGGGGGTCGCTTTGTAGATATGGCCCTTCCCCAGAATGACAATCTTAGCATCAATGGCTTCTATCCCTTCCCTGAGAATGGCTTAGAAAGGAGCAGAAGGCACTGGGTACAGGTACAGGAATCTGGAGGGAAAGAGAGTGGCAGAGGAGAGAAAGGAGCATCGAATGGGGAAGGACACCTCAGGTGCCTTGATGTGGCCCAGGACACGATGGCAGTGATGGAATAACTCATCGGTCACCTTCACTGTCTCCCTGTCCTGCTTCCTGCCCTTGGGGGTTCCCTCTGCTCTTAGGGCCCTGCTAAGGGACATTACGTTTGGCACCTCCTGGCCCTGTCTCTTTTCCTTCAGAGGCTCTGGTCATCAGCAGCTCTGATTCAAGTTGTGGTGGTGTCTGTGGCAGCAGCTGAACAAGTATTTGCCTGGGGGAGGGAGGGAGGGAGGGATGGATGGATGGATGGATGGAGGGAGGGAGGGAGGGAGAGACAGGTGGTTGGTGGAAACCACCAGCCAGAACGGAGCATCTGGGTTAGCTAAGAATCCCATTCAACTACGCAGCCACCTTCTCACATCACCAAGCAAAAGAGAATCTTTATTTAGTGTGAACACCTATTGCCTTTGTCATTTTTTTAAAAAATAGCTTGAGATAAAATTTACAAAAAAAAAATTCACCCATTCTAAGTGTCCAATTCATGATCTTTAGTTAATTTACAGAAGTCTCTAACCATCACCACCATCCACCCTTCTGCCTGGAGTGACTTTTATCTACCTGCAAAACGTGCCACATTTGAGAGCATCAGGGTGTCTCTACCATGGCTTTACATCCTTCAGAATTTCTAGTGATAAGCCCATGCCCATGACAAATATGGGTACAATTCTTGCTAAGATGTACACGGAGTCCAAGTCAAAGAGAGGAAAAGTTATGGCTGAAATGGTCTCTAGCATTTCTTGGGATTGCTAATTTGACTTTCTAATGCCTATCTAATTTCGTGTTGCCTCTGGACGTGTGGGCATGGATGAGCTGGTGTTTGTTTTCTCTTCAAACAGCACTTAGCAGTGGTGCCAAGTCTCTCTCCACTTTACAGCCAAGAGAGCCAAGGTAAAGGATGGATTAGCGTCAACGGCAGCACACAGCCACGGGAAGCACCACAGGGCTTGGCCTCATGCCCCATACTAAGCCGGGCACCTCCCCCCCACTCAAAAGCAGCAAGGAGCTGTCATCGAAAGGCTCAAGTGTGTCAGCTGGAGGGATGACTCAAGTGGGTTAGAATAATAGCCACACCCGATGCTAGCAGGGGCCTTCTTGTGTACCAGGACTGCTCTGGGCACATTTTTTTTTTTTTTGAGTTGGAGTCTCACTCTATCACCCAGGCTGGAGTGCAGTGGCACGCTCATGGCCACCCCATCGTCGACCCGCTGGGCTCCAGCGATCCTTCTGCCTCAGCCTTCCAAGTAGCTGGAACTACAGGTGCGTGCTACCACGCCCGGCTAACTTTTATTTATTTATTGTAGAGACGAGGTCTCACCAAGTTGCCCAGGCTGGTCTCAAACCCTCAGGCTCAAGTAATCCACTTGTCTCGGCCTCCCAAAGTGCTGGGATGACAGGCTGAGCCACCGAGCCCGGCCTGCTCTGGGCACTTTTAATGTTTCAACTCATTTCATCCTAATGGCAACTCTGTTGGTATGTCATTTTACAGATAAGGAAACTGAGGCACAGAGAGGCGAAATAGCTAGCCGAAGGTGGAGTTGGATTCAAGTCCAGGCACATGGCTTCAGAATCCGCGCTCCCAGTCCTAAAGCTCCTCTTCTGAGAGAGGAGTAGGTGAATTTGCTGTTCCCTGCAGAGACTGGGACAACGAGGTGTTGAGAAAAAGTAAGAGAGGCCAAGAGTGACTCAAGGGTTTGGATTCCAAAAGAATGTAACACAGGTCAGCTGTGTTCCAAGGCTGTTCTTTACCCCCCAACACACACACACACACACACACACACACACACACACACAGACATACACATCATTCCAATAGTAAGCAGCACCATTAGAATCACTCCATGCTGCACTATTCACTGAGCACGCACTATGAGGGGAACCCCAAAAAACCCGGAACTTATTTCTAAAAAGTTGTGTATTTATTCTTACGTGTTTTAACTTCAGTCGCTTTCAAAAGTACTCTCCGTTTGATGCCGTACACCTATTGAGATACTTTTTTCCACTGCTCAAAACGGTTTTTGAACTCGCCCATTCTGATGCCCTTTAGTGCTTCTGCTGTTTTTTGTTTCGCCTCTTCCACATGGGCAAAAGGTCTCCCTCTGAGGACTTTTTTTACCCGAAGAAACAGAAAAAAAGTCACCTGGGATGAGACTGGGTGAATAGAGAGGGTGGGGCAAGGGAGTCATGCTGTTTTTGGCCCAAAACTGCTGAACACTCAGCACGGTGTGGGCAGGTGCGTTTATAAATTGCCCATCACAGAATGGGCAAACGCACTAAAAGAATCTCCAAAAAAGTCTCACTGAAGCTGAACACAGCCTCCCACAGCCATGCTAGCTGGGACCCTGATGTCGATGGATTCCTAGAACACTCACCTCATGGGGGGCCCACTCTCCAAAAGCTAATTCTGCTTTTGGCCATCGCCCCCGGCCATATGTCAGGAACCATGCTAGCGGCTAGGAGCTGGCTGCACCGAGACAAAGAAGAGTCTCTTCCTCCAGGACTGTCCAGTCCTGCCATCCTCCTGCTGTGGATCATCACTATGATATTAAATCCAATCTTCTAGGTCACCAGCGGCCACTAAAACAGCTCCTAGATCATGCTGTTTTGGATACTGGTAGGAAATCCCACGGTAAATGAGACAGCACCGGCCAAGCAAGACCAAGTCCCAAGTTAAGTTGATTTGAGAAATCGGGGCTTTGTCTTGCATGTGAAATCATGAATATAGAAAAGATAGAAGAAAACCCCGATGGGAGAAGAAGGGAGCGAGTGTCTTGCCTGTTCCCAGACAGCCAAAGTGGAATTCACCGAGACCACAACCCCAGGAAGCAGCATCTCTGTAAAGAGCCTTTAAGGAAGGGGCTAGGGGAAGAGTCATTTCCACTCCCACACTGAGCTCCTTGCAGGCGTCCACTGTGCTGGTGACACAGGTGACAGCAAGAGCCACCTAGGTTGAAGAAATGCACCTGGCACAGGTGGGCAGCCGTGTCCTGGTCCTCGAGTCTCCCCAGCATTCCTTAGGACCTCTTCTCTCTCTCTGAGCAAGCGGCAGCCTCACCTGGGCACCATACTTGAGACAGGCGGGCCATGAGTCACAGCCCTTCCATTTTACAGCCCCTCCCAGGACACGGGATGCAGGTTTCACTCACTCTGTCCCTTTCACTCACTCTGTTCCAGCCCCGCCAAAGGATCTCTGCTTGCCTTGCTGAGCAATTTGCCCGCCACAGTCCAAGGTGCAAACAAAACACTGGATCCTCCGTTGGCTTTAATTCTCCATCCCAAAACAATTTACAAAAACAGCTTTGATTGGGCATGGTGGCCCATGCCTGTAACCCCAGCAGTTTGGGAAGCTGGGGCGGAAGGATTGCTTGAGCCCCGGTGTTTGAGACCAGCCCGGGCAACATAGCAAGACCCCATCTCTACAAAAAAACAAAAGTAAAAACAAAAATTAGCTGAGTATGATGGTGTGTGCCTGTAGTCCCAGCTATTTGGGAGGCTTGCCTGAGCCCAGGGTTTCGAGACCACCCTGGGCGACATAGGAAGACCTTGCCTCTACAGAAAATAATTAGCTGGGCATGGTGGCCCACACTGTAGTCCCAGCTACTCAGGAGGCTGGGGCAAGAGGACTGCCTGAGCCCAGGAGGTCAAAACTGCAGTGGTCGTGATCGTGCCACTGCACTCCAGCCAGGGCGATAGAGTGAGACTCCAATTCAGAAAAAAAAAAAAAAGGCCAGACTTGGTGGTTCAGTCTGTAATCCCAGCACTTTGGGAGGACGAGGTGAGCGAATTGCCTGAGTCTGAGGTTCGAGACCAGCCTGGGCAACTTGGCGAGAACTCATCTCTACAATAAATCAAAAATTAGCCAAGCAAGGTAGCGTGCGCCTGTGGTTCCAGCTACTTGGAAGTCTGAGGCAGAAGGATCACCAGAGCCCAGCAGGTTGACACTGGGGTGGCCATGATCGCACCACTGCACTCCAGCCAGGGCGACGGAGTGAGATTCCAACTCCAAAAAAAAAAAAAAAAAAGCTCTGCTTTTGGAACAACATAACTTTTTTTTGTAACAAGATCCATGGGATAAACCAGGAAAGCCCTCAAATGCCTCTCAGAGTGTTTTCCCCATGACTCGACCACCTTCATTTGGAAACTGGAAGGGGAGAATTTACCGATGTGGCAATCAGAGAAGCTCACACTCTGGGGAAGCTCTTACCTACCGCCTCCCTTCCTGTAAACAGCTCTGACCCTCAAATCCTGGCCTCTTGGCAAAAACTAGCTTATTATCCCACCACCCCTAGTGTAAACAGGAGGAGCCGCGTTTACCTCCGGTGGGTGACATATGGTGGATGTAGATTTTGCCGTCCCTGACGCTGTCCGGGGTGACGGGTATCAAGTGGTCCTTCCACACCTTGATCTGGTTGGAAAACCCAATGATGCTGAAGCGGTCCTGGGGCCGGAGGTCATGGAGGATCGTGAAGAGGGCGTCCTTGGTCTAGGCAAACACAAAGCCGGAGCCGTCACAGCCCGTCACGGCCGTCCACTCGCCCCTAGCCCGTAAACGGCCTGCCAAGGGCACTCCCAGGGTTCAAGTTGAGTGCCCGCTCTGTGAAGAGCACTTGGCTGAATGTCAGCGAATGTGTCCTTGAGCTGAATACACAGACTAAAGACATTACAGCTGGATACGAGATGCCAGGCCGTGTTTAATACATGAACTGTCACACACTGCTACCGGCCAGGGTGCACCAGGCCTCCATATCTTCATCACTGCTGTTCTCTTGGTCTAGAATATTCTGCCTCGATCTTCCACCTGACAAGACCTAGTCATTCTCGTTTTTCTGGAGTCGGGGCCTCACTCTGTCCCCAGGCTGGAGTGCCGTGGCACAATCACGGCTCACCACAGCCTTCTCCTCCTGGGCTTATGTGACCCTCCCACCTCAGTCTCCCAAATAGCTGGGACTACAGGTGCATGCCACCACACCCAGCTGATTTTTGTTTTTGTTTTTTGTTTTTTTTTTGTTTTAGAAAGAAGGCCTTGCTATGTTGCCCAGGCTGGTCTTGAACTCTTGGACTCGGGCAATCCTCTCACCTTGCCTCCCAGGGTGTGGGATTACAGGTAGGAGCCACCGTGCCCGGTCCCTAGTCACTCGTAAGACTAGGGACCGGGCATGGAGAATGCGCTAAATTCTCTGTTGCAACTTCTTCTAACTTCTCGAAAGAGAGCTGATCATTCCCTCCCCTGGGCTGGCGACGTCCTCAACACATTCCTATTATATGGTGCAGGTGGCGCCATCATGATGGCCGCTTCATGTCTCTTTCCCTTACTAGACCGTTTGTAGATTTGTCCCCTTTGTAGGTGTGACCCTTTCATCTTCATGTTACCCGGTGACACACGGGGGGTGCTAGACAAAGGGGTAGCAAGTGAATGAATGGATGAACATTTAATAACTTACAAAATTAAAGTTCAAATAACAAACACTACAGAATTTTAAAAGATTAACAAAATCCCGGTGGACTGGAATGATGTGAGACTCTATAGAGAAAGAGGAATTTGAGATGAGGCTTAGAGGAAACTGGACAGCTTGGAAGAGTAGGAAAAGCCTTCTGAGAAGAAGGAAGGAAGGAAAGAGGGAAGGAAGGAAGGAAGGAGAAGGAAGTCGGGTTGAGCAAAGCCAGGAGGGAACCCAGGTGAACTCAGGAGTACAGGGGTACAGAGATAACAGGTGTTACCGCCTAAGTCAGACGTGCCTTGTGGAAAGAAGAAAGGAGTCACGTGACACAGAAAGCAAATTCTCTAAGAGCCTGGACAAGAGTTTCCAGAACAATCTACAGATATTGTGAGCAAACATCTTCCCTACACAGCATTGTTGTTAGACATTTAAAGTGACTCAGTGTAGGAAGTCAGGGACTTTCATTGCATAATTGCTATGACAATGACACCTGGCACCCTTTTTTTTTTTTTTTTTGAGTTGGAGTCTCACTCTGTCATCCAGGCTGGAGAAGAAGTGGTGCAATCAGAGCTCACTGCAAGCAGCCTCCAAGTCGTGGCCTCAAGTGATCCTCCCACCCAGGCCTTCCAAAGTGCTGGGATTACAGATGTGAGCCGCTATATCTAGCCTTATTTGGTAATTTTAATACAAAAATAATACTATTCATTTTTTAAAAGATCAGAAGGACAACATAAAAGTCATCATTCTGCCCACCTGGAGACAACGCTATTAAAATGCAGAGCACACCACGTGCCTCTTCAGAAACTTTCCTGTCTGTGTGTGTGTGTGTGTGTGCGCGCGCGCGCATGTGTGTGTGTGTGTGATTTTAAAGAAAATGAACCATATTATATGGATATCACACTGTAAAGTCTTTGCTTACCCATGTGGATCACATGATCATACATAGCACTCACATCAGTAGACAAGTATTCACCACATTTTCATTTCATTTCATTTCATTTTATAGCTGGAGTCTCACTCTTGTCGCCTAGGCTGGAGTGCAGTTGCACGCTGATGGCCACCACAGCCTCGACCTGCTGGGCTCAGGCGATCCTTCCACCTCAGCCTTCCAAGTAGCTGGAACTACAGATGCACGCCACCATACCCAGCTAGTTTGTGTGACTTATTGTAGAGATGAGGTCTCACCAAGTTGCCCAAGCTGGTCTTGAACCTACAGGCTCAGGCATTCCTCTTGCCTTGGCCTCCCAAAGTGCTGGGATGACAGGCTGAACCACCGCATCTGGCCCACCACATCATTTTAAAGTCAGCACAACATCCTACCTGTCCTTTATGCCACATCTTAAAATTTCTTTTTTTTGTCAGACTCTCACTCTGTCCCCCAGGCTGGAGTGCAGTGGCACGCTCGTGGCTGCCACAACCTCCACTCTTGACTCAAGTGATCCTTCCACCTCAGCCTTCCAAGGAGCTGGGACTACAGGCACGCTCCACCACACCTGGCTAATTTTTGTATTGGTTGTAGGGATGAGCTCTCGCAAAGTTCCCAGGCTGGTCTTGAACTCCCGGGCTCAAGTAATCCTCATGCCTCAGTCTCCCAAAGTGCTGGAATTACAGGTGTGAACCACCAAGCTGGCCAACATTTCGAACATTTAAGCAACTCTGCTCTGATGCTCATTACTCAGCCATCTTTGCACCCAGAACTCTTTCCTTGGGACAAAGTCCATCTGTGAAATTGGAGTAACAACAGCTTTGCGCTTTGGGAAGGACTTAGTGTGTTCCCACCTTGCTGCTATTGTTTTTCTTTTTCTTTTTCTTTTTTTTTTTTGAGTTGGAGTCTCACTCTGTCGCCCAG